GGGTGCAACCTGGACCAACAAAAGGCCAGGAGCCAGAAGGGCTCCTGTGCCCATTGCCCACCCTCTGGCTGTGCCGTGGCTCGGTGCCGAGCTCTCCCCGTGCCCTGGCCCGCACAGAGCATTCCCTGCCAAGCCCCTGGAGCTGCTGGCCCTGCGCTGGCTCTGCCCTGGCCTCCATCTCCCCCCAAATTCATCTGCAAGCATGCCAGGTGCTGCATGCAAACCCCCAGTGCTCAAGCAGTGTGAGCCAGACCCCAAAATGACAGGATAAACCCCAACGCTGCGAGAGCTTCCTCTATGGCTGGGAGGGCTGCGGGCTCTGCCTCGCACCAGGATGCACCAGCAAGTGACCCGACTGCTGGGGCTGGGACGCCTGGAAACTGGCTGTCGACAGCCTGGTGCTCTCCTTACGGTGCTCCCTGGGGAGAATCCCGTCTTTTCTGCCCCAGAGAAGCCAGGCAAGTTCATCAGCCAGCAGTGGACCGGAGCTGGCACGGGGGCTGCGGGCGCAGGGGTCCGCCGGTGAGTGTTGCAGGATTCCCCTGCCGGTGCTGCGCCGGCATACACAAGTCAAAAAAGTTGGTGAATTATCAGCATGGCAATCGGGGCAGAGCACATCTCTGCAGCTGGAGGAGTGGGCAACATGGGCACCCAGCGAGCCCTTCCTGAGCAGTTGTTCCTAATACAAAATTCAGCCAGAGCCTAGGAGACATGCAGAAACCCCAGAAGGAACGAAGGGCTTTTCGGCTCCATTTCCCAGCAGCCGGGGCGGCAAATTCTCCTCCCCAGCCCTGCCATGCAAGGGGTCATTATCTGGGGCAGGCTGAGCAATAATTTTCTTGCAAACCTCAGGTTGCTCCACGCCTGTGACAACTCAGCAGCTCCCCGCGAGTTCGGTTCGTGCTTTGCTTCATGTCAGAGACATTTTCCACGGAACATGGCTCTTCCCACCTCGGAGGGAGGACCTGGCCACCATCCCGCTCCAGCCCTGTGGACGTCACTGAGCCTGTGCAGGGAACTGGAATGAAACCCTGCGAAGGTAACCATTGCTCCAGCAGAAACAATTAGTCACTTCTACAGGAGCTCTGCCCAGCGGAGCAGGGCTCCCGGGCTTGCCGCCGGCTTCGCCGCCGAGGGGGCGATGGGCAGCCCCATCCTTGGGCGGGCACTGGCCACAAGCTGGGATGGTGAAAGGGTTCATTACTCCCTGCTCCCAGCCCAGCTAGGGTGGAAAGCGGGAGAGGAGTGTGGCATCGGCCGGGTCTGGGTGGTAGCGAGGGAACAAGCCAGGAGAGAAAAATGCAGCAAATCTTTTGGGTGCTTCAGTCTGTCCTCTCCTCCCTCCCCAGGAGGACAGGAGCACAGAGAAGGCAGCGAGGGCTCAGCAAGAAAGATCCAGCACATATTTAAATGCTTCGGTCCCCCCCCTCTCCTCTGTCCTCCACTCTCACAGCCCCCCAACCACCCCTCCTGCGGGAGCTGCTCATGGAGAGGCGGCACCAGTACCTCCAGGCTCCAACCGGTCCCTTTTTCTTTGGAGCAGCAGCATCTCCCTCTCCCAGTAAGGCACTGGTGGCTGGCAGAGATGCTTGAGCTGCTGCGGTGGGCACCAGCACCGGCGTGGCCCTGCATGCCACCAGGGAGCTGCTCTCTTGCAGGCATGGGGGACACAAAAAGGCCATTTCAGTTCCCTGATCCAGCGGGGTGTCCACGAGCTGGGTTGCAGGCGGCCAGATTTACAGGAGGTTATAAAGCCCCCCAAAGACACCAGATGCGCGGGACGCTGCATGTCCTTCGGCTGCCTCCGGGTTTTGCCAGGCTGGGAGGGCTCTGGCTCTCGGTACCGGGAGGGATGATCCCTTTGGGACCACAAGGTGTTGGCGGAGGTTGCGTTGCACCCTGCGCAGCGTCGAGCGTGCCACCCAGCTCTGCTCAGCCGGTCGAGGTCAGCTCTGCCAGCGCGGCAGCGGCGTCCCACTGTCTCTTTTTGCAAAGGCACCTCCCGCGTAGGTCCGTCCTTGCAGAGGTCACATCCCTCCATCCCGTCTCGTGCACCGCGGTGGAAGGTGGGATGAAGTCATGGTAAAGCTGCTCTGGGAGGTTTCCATAAACACCGTCTTAGAAAACATTATGGTCTGTGGAAATCTGTTTGTTATTGTGAATTGAGCTAAAGGAATATACTCTGTAAACTGAGCTGTCAGCTGAGCGTCTCCCCCAGCGTTCTCCAGCGAGCATTTAGCTGAAACATTTGTGTATACAGAATTACGACTCTTCAGTTATTCATCATGATAATAAACAGAGAGATAACTATTAACCATGCATCACAGTAATGAACAGTATCGCTTACACGCGCGCCGGTGTAAATCTGCGTGAGCGGGGCTGTATTCTGCAGGGAACGGCTGCAGCCCAGCGCTGGCTTGGGCTCAGACCGAGGACTGGGGTGTTTTGCAGCCTGCCAGTGGCCCCGCGCCCGTGCCGGACCGTCACGCTGAGCTGGCGCAGGCCGGCTGGCTCCGGCATCCAGGACCAGACATTGCAGAAGAAGGGGGAGCCATGGCCATGGGTCACACTGGGCACTTCCCGTGGGGTAACTGGTGACCAGCCAAAACTGGGTGTCCTGGTATGGTGGGGAAGACGTCGATGCATCGCTGTTGCAAGCTGGCACTGGTGCCGCTAGGAGGATTCGCAGCGCACACCGATTTATGGCCAGGGAGGTGACAGCAGTGGCTTCAAAGCCATATGAAAGCCCTCTCCCACCCGCAGCGTTCCTGGTCACCGCAGCACCCCGAGCGCTTGCCCACACTCTTCTGGCTTGAGGGGGCTCCCTGAGCACCCCGAGGGCTGTGCTCTTCTCCAAGGCCTCCCGTCATTCGTGCTGTCCCGCTGCTGAAACTGGCTGGAGGCAAACCACAGGGCAGCGCTGGGCTCCGGCGCGGGGCCACGCTTGGCACCCCGGTGCCCCCAGGCTGCCCCATCCACTCCATGTTACCGGCTGCTCCCTCCCCGGCTCCAGCACGCAGCCCCGGGCAGCAGGAGCTCTGCTGCCGGTGGCGTTGGCTACCGGGGCCGTCCCCGGGTGCGGATCTGTCCCTCCAGGTCTGCTCTCAGCACATGCAGCACAAAGCATCACCCCAAAGCAAACCCCTGACCTCCGGGCTGGGCACGGGGATGCTGGCGGGGGGACGGGAGATGTCCGCACCGCTCCGGCTGGGAGGACAAACACAGAGCCCGTATTCTCCGGGGCTTCCACCAGGGCTCACGCGGAAAGAAAAGCTGCTTTATGCAGCTGAGAAACTTCTCATCCACCCACCATGGCTTCTGCTCCGGCCCTTGCCTCTGCATCCTGACCTGACCTCCTCTTGGCGGGCACGCACCAGCCCTCGAAGACTTTGTGCTCCGGTCTGGTCTCTGAAACGCCTTGTACGTCTGCGGGCAGACACCTCTGCATCACCTAAAAGCCATCGGGGATTTGCGTGCAGGAGAGGAAGGAAAACAACAAAAAAAATATGGCCTTGCTCTTTCATTCACATATTTATTAGGTGGACAGATCATTTGTGGTCAGATGGGCTTCGGGCTTTACAAACGGGGATATTTATAAGGCACGCAGCACGGCGGAGCTGTTCTGCATGTGCGTCCAAGTCATTCCTTCCCCAGCACAAGGTATAATGTTGCCTTTGTTCGGCTGCCTCCGACAGCCCAGCACAGCAAAGCGCGCCGTGCCGCTCGGCCAGGCCCCTCCGCCGCGCACCGCGCAGCCCTGCATGCTCGCCGTTTAAATAGCGCACAGTCCCGGCGCGTCCCGGCTCTTTCCACACACACCGCAGCCCCGGCAACTGCCGCAATAAATCAATAGGAAAATAGAGGCTGCCAGTTAGACTAAACAAGTGCATTTGCAAGGATTGCTAACCCTCATTAATCACTCCGACAGTCCTAAAAACACATTTCCCCTTTAATGACTGTATTTGGATAATCAGAGCTTTTTCCTCGCGGCGCGGGGTGACTGACGGCGGGTGCGATTGCGGCGAGCGCCGGCACCGGGGTCACCGGCGAGTCAAGCGCTGGAGGTCCCCAGCAGCTCGGGGCGAGCTGGAGAAGTTGCTGTTGTGCAATAGGGAGGGGCCGCGGGGGGAGAATTTGCTGTTGTGCAATAGGGAGGGGAGCCGCGGGTGCAGCCCCAAACCCGCCGTCCCCGTGTCCAGCACCCACCTGTGTTATCCCAGCCCCTGCCCTCCCACCCCAAACCACCCCCTGCCAGCTGGGTTTGAAAGGGCCTTTTTTTTGTCGCTCCGCGTTCCCTTTAGGTGACTTTTGCCTCCCGGAGAGGTTTGAAACCTCACACATTTTTCTGTATAAATGATGCAACACATTAATGCACAGCACATTATGAAAATGGTAATTCAAACCCATACAACTCTAAATTAAGCCATACATTATCCGACCCACTCAGCCATATATTTTGCAGAAAGACAGGATTGAATCAAATCAAACCGAAACTGTGGAGTGCAGGTTGTTAGACAGAATGATTAATAAAGTGCATCCCAGTGCTCTTATTATAAAATGAATTCTGCAGTAACCTGGGCATACATTAGATAGGGAGTTATTTAATATATTGGCAACACAATCATTCCCTAGCAGATAAAGCCCCCGAGTGTCGACTGCTATCAGATGATACTTTGCAGTGTTTACACAGTCTGGCCCTGCTGCTGCAGTCTTTAGGGAGGGGAAAAAAATATTCCTCAGGGAACCTTCTGCACAGCAGGACGTATCCGAGCAGCATCCAGCTCCCACCGTCGGTGGAGGGAAGGCACATGGGCTCGGGTTTGGAGCTGGGAGCATCCTGGCGCAAGGAGGGGTTTGCGGGGAGAGGGGAGACGGACCTTTGCCGTAAGGGGAGGATGCACCCAGCAGCTTGCCCTGCTCTGGGAGAAGGGCTCCGGCAGGACGGTGGGCTCTGCAAGCCCTCACCCCCTTGTCTGGGCTGCTCCATGGCAGCTACTCACCGGCTGGCACACGGCACGGCCCCGGCAGCCCCGAGAGCCAGCGTCGGCTGCACCAGGCTATCGTGCCTCATGTGCATCCGCGTGCAGCACGGCATCGCCCTCTCGCCCCGCGGCACGAGGCTCTCCAGCAGCGCTGGCGCCGGAGACGCCTGGCTACAGCCAGGGAGAAGCATGGTGGAACAAAATGCCACAGCAGGGACCCGCGACAGGCACGGCATTTCGGAGCTGCAGCCGAGGAACCGTGATTTACACTGGGGACCGGCAGCGCCCGAGCAAGGCCGACACTGAGCAGCATCACTGGTGGGAGTGGGAGCCACAGCCAGGGAGCAGCGATGCTCCCGAGGGGCAGGGGGGCCCGGCACGTCGTCAAACGCCACCGCGTAGCTCTGCGGCAGAGGGAACGGTAGCACAGGAGCTGCCCCACCGGTGCTCTGCCCGCCGCCCCGAGACGCCCTGCTCCATGGGGAACATCAGCTGCAACGCCCAGAGCCAAAGGGTTCAGCATCCAGCTGGGACATGGGGATGGGGGACACCGGGATGGGAGACACCGGCACAGTCGCAGCAGCCCAGGCCTGGCACCCCTTCCCTGCCACTGCCCACCGGGCAGAGCAAACGGCCACAGCAAAGCCCCCTCTGCTCCAAACCCAGTCCTGCAAACCCCAGGCCCTCATCCTGCAAACATCCTGCCCCGAAGGAGCGGGGCCAGTGCAGGCAGACCCTGGGCAGAGCCGGACACGAGCCACGTCCGCAGCAGGGGAAGGGGTAGCCATGGACTCACAAAACCTGCCTCCCCCCAGCCTTGGGGAGCTTGGGGACGGTGCTGCCCACCCCTCCGCCAGCCAAGGGGAGACCAGTCCCCAGCACCACCAGCCTCTCCCATTTCCAGCAGGAGACCCCAGCCAGGGCCCTCCCTGCCGGCCGCACGCCTACGGCCACGCTCGCACGAACAGGCAGAAAACTAAAAATCCCGTTGGCAAAACAAGTCCCTGTTTTAAGCGCATTATTTTTCGGCTCAAAGGACACAAAGGAATTTAAACACAGGGCATAAGGCAATATAGAGAAGGCAATTAACAGGGATTAATTGCATGACTCACCCAAAATGCAACAGGAGTAAAGCGCTCAACAGCAGGAAAAAAAAAAAGTGATGTGGGGCAATGGGAGCATGTGGGATTTCAAGGGGGAGCGGGGGCACGGCCGAGGGTCCTGCTGCAAAGGTTGGGGTGCTGCTGGAATAGAAGCTTGGGGAGGGCCCCTTCCCTGGGGCATGGGGTGGGCAGCTGGGCAGGCAGCAGCACCCTGCCCGGCCGCCCTCCTGCCTGCCCTTCCCTGCCTGCCGCAGGCTCGGCGCGCGGCGGAGGCAGACGCAGCAGGGCAGCTCGCAATCCCTGCCAGGAGGGATGGGAGCCATACCAATTTCGGAGCCATTTATCAACCCCTCCGCACTCTCCTCGCACAGACAGCAAAAAGATTAAACGGGGAGGGGGGGGACAAGCCTCCGCGCCAGCTCTCGGCCACCCACGCACACCCTGCGCGGGAGCGGGACCCCGTTTCTATTGCAATTCCCGTCCCTAAAACTTAATTCCTGCGGCGGCTGCAGCTACGAGAGGGATTGCCATCCGCTCCCCGCAGCCTCTCGGGAGGGGGGGACCGGGGCTTTTTGCATCGATTTCAGCTCCAACGCCTTCTCGAACCTTCCCTCCTCCGCCACGCGCGAGAAAACCCGGCGCCTTCCTCCCCAGGAAACACAGACACGCGAGGAAAAGGAACCGAGGAGGCCCCGGACGCCCCTCTTCTCCTACGGGCCCCCCCCCGCCCCGCAGCCGCCACCGGATTGCTCTCCCTGGAAGCACACAGAGTTTGTTGCAAAATGCTTTTTTTTTTTTTGCTTGTTTTTGCATGTTTGAATTCACACAAAATTTTAAAATCTCAGTAAGTGTGAAGAAAGAAATACAGATAGATCTGAAACTAAAATAATTTTTGATCCTTTTAAGTACTGCAAAGTTTGTAATATAAATAAGCTAACATTGGCTATTAAAAAGTTATTTTGAATTAAAATATTCCAATTACATTTTACAATTATTCCAGGATACTCAAAACACATTTTTCCTTTTTTTTTTTTTTAATAAAAAATTTGGGAGATTTGCTGAAACTGACTCTCTCAGGCAGTTCTATGCTTGACTATCAGAAAATATGTTGGTGGAAAAGAAATCACTGGTGCTCACTGACAAACATTAGAATACAATCCAAATCAGTTAAGTAGCACTACTTTGGAAAACTTCCTAAAGGCACTGCAACAAGTCTAATTTCTTCAGTATCGTTAGCCCAAAGCTTGAAGGTAAAGCAATATGTATGAAGATAAAACCAGATATATGAACCTGTTCTTGGTTATAAGTTTAGAAGAGTGATACAGTGACATGATCATCTGTCTTATGTAATCTCTGGAGGCCGATATTCTGCAGGAACTGGTGATTTCCAGAGGAAAACCATCAGTGCATTAGGGAAGTACCTGATCAGGTTTTTTGTAGCTTTTTTTTTTTTTTTTTTGGACACAGACTTTTTGCATACCATTGATTCATTGGTGTATTAATGCACTTATATTCCCAGCTTTAAGCTAACATACAGTAAATAAATACACAGTCCAAGGAGGGAGCGGGGGGGCTGGGGCGAGGAGGAGGCTGGAGCCGGGGAAGGGGCTGCCGTAGTTACTGATATCCCAGTGCAGAAGCTGAAGTTAGTCTTTGGCCGTAGAGCGCGTATGGAGAGTAGTAAGGTCCGGCGGCCGGCAAGGAGGGCACCGGCAGGGCGCCGGCTGTGGGCAAATGGCTCTTGCCGTAGGGGTGGTACCTGTTTAGTCCCAAAGTGTGTGGGCTCCTCAAGGAGAGGGAAGCAGGTAACGTGTTGGGGCTCCCGGGGGCAGCGGGCGGGAGGTGGAGGTGGCAGGAGGCTGCGGAGCCCAGCCCGGAGGTAGGGTAACCCGCCAAGAGTTTTTCCGCCCCCGGCAGGGCCGTGTGGGTCCGTAGGTGGGTGAGCAGCTCCTCCGAGGTGGCAAACCTCTTGTCGCAGGGTCCGCTGGCAGACACCCAGTTGCATATGTGGGGCAGGGGGTCGTTCTGCAGCATGAAGCCGTAGGTGTAGAGGGGGTGGCCGGGCAGGCTGGGGGTGCCGCTGGAGGAGAGCGTGGTGTGCACCGAGTGCAGGGGGTGCGTGGGGTACACCAGGGGGTATCCGCTCTTCAGGCTGCCGGGGTCGTGCACGCAGCTGGAGCAGTTGCTGGAGCCCAGGTGCGAGGCGCTGTGGTAGCTGAGGCAATACGGGTCCCGGCATAATCCCTGCATGAAGGAGGGCGGCGAGGCCCCGGTGAGCGGGCTGGAGCTGGGCGGCTTGCCCGGCAGCCCCAGCGCCCCCGGCAGCTGGCTGCCCACCAGGCCCGGCTTGGTGGGGTCCAGCCCAGGCACGAACTGGGACGGGTAGCCGGCGTAGGCGCCGACGATGGAGCCGTGGTAGCCGATGCTGGGGGGCGGCAGGGGGGAGACGGGGGGGGCCGGGC